ACTCAGATCCCAATGGATTCCAGCACTTACACAAAATTTTGACCACATCACTGGACCAGCGCAGGGTGGTAATAGAGTAGGGTCACCCCAAATTAACAGATGACCTTTCTCTAGTGGCTTCAGGTAAATGTTTAAAAGTAGTGAGAAGAGAATCAAGCCCCGCTGCACTCAACCTGTAAAAGACCAGACCTGGGCTGGTCTGTCTTTACCTACAAGCATTGACTGAAATTACCGACTAGGAAAGAATGGAACCACTGGAGGACAGTGCTACCAACCCTTAATTCCCAAAGATGGTTCAGAAAGATACCATGGTCAACGGAATCAAAGGCAGCTGAGAGGATTAATAGGAGTGGAAGGGGTACACTCCTCCATCTAGATCCTGCCCAGGCCTGAATCCCTCTTAAAAATGGTCCCAATAATCTGCTTCCTCTAGGATGCTCTGAAATTGCCTTCCTACCATGACCTCAACACTGTTTCCTAGAAAGGGAAGCCCAGAGACATAGCAAAAGTTGTCTGATACCACTAGATCTAATGTCTCTCTTTCAGGATGTACTGATGACTTTTAAAATCACACACACCTTCATGAAAGAAGTAATGAAATTCTGATCTATATCACTTCAGGTAAATCTACTTTGAACATTCTTCTGTGTACTCCACTCTCTCCACTTGATATAAGACAGACACAAATCAAGAGTGAGGAGCAATTCTTTTAAATATGTTTGTGTTGAAAGCAGTAAACTGAAAAAGAAGGAACCCTACATAGAACTAAATTGCCCACAATATTGAGATGACTGAAATATACCTCAATTTATGTTATAAAATCCAAAATCCAACTAGAATTAGATTGTATATCCATGCAGAATTTAAATACTCAGATAATAGAATTTCTCATGTCTCTGGAGAGAAAGAGCCTGCCCCTCCCCACTATTAGCAAGTTTCATTCAGCTAAACTTCTGAATAGATAGCTCATTGTGTTAATGATCTCATATGCAAAATGGACAAAGATTCTTTAATATTGTTTAAAACAGAGCAATATCATTGTTTATACAGTTTATTAATCAAGAGCTTTACAGAATACAAAAAATCTTTACAGCAAAGCTGAAAAAGCACAGGGCCTATTGAGCAAACATATATGAAATCTCCAACCTCATAAAACTTATATATAAAGCTTTCTTGACCAACTGAGCTTTTGATGCTTACACTTTCTCAGAGCCACGTATTACCTTATAGTGTTCAACAGATACATGAAAAGTATTTTATATTTCTACAGTGCTTTCACAGATATGAAAAATCATACAGAATTGTTAACCTACAGATTCCAATCAGTATTCTGTACAAAAATACACAAAAAGAACAAAGAAATCCACCTCAAACATGTAATTAAAGATTCGGCACTCACCATTAGCACCACAATATTGGAATGTTCCTTCAAATAACTTACATCTAGACGTGTGTTTGAAGACTACCAAATTCTGAAATCAGCACATTCCAGCAGTGAAATCGATAAACAAACATTCTGGTCATTTTCTGCTCCCTGATGGATTCTGAGGGGAAGCCTTCATCTCTTTAGTTTGACTTTCCACTCCTTGATCACGAAGCAATTAAGAAACCTGTTTCAATGCTCTCAACGCCCAATTATTATTACAAGACCAAACTCCTTTACCCAGCAGAGAGATGTAATAACACTAGACGTGGCGGGGAATCCAATGCTATTATGAAACGCTCAAGATTTAGACAAACAGGCATATGAAAACTAAGTTCAACACGTTAGAACGAAGGACGTAAGTGTGTACAGAATAAAACAAGTCCCAACAGTCCCTAAGCAAAAGCATGCTGTGAAACTTTTCATTTAAGTTTCATTTAAAGTCACTCCCAATGAGTAATGGGCCAATTTGAATTACACACAGGCCTAGAAACTTGGACACACCATTTAATTCCTTAGTTATAATATACTTGTCTGTAGCAAAACAGAGTTTCACAGCAGAAAGAAAGAAAAAGAAGCTAATTGTAACAGAGCTAAAATATCCTGCCTACATTTTACACAAAAGCCAATCATATCTACACAAGCTAAGTGTGACTGAAATGCTAGATGAAACCTTAAATCATGATAGGCAATGCATGCACAACTGTAAAGTAATATTTATATTAGCAGTTATTATAGAATGTTTACAGTATATCCACATTTTAAAAATCTCTAACTGAATGAAAAAAATTACATGATTACCATGAAAATACCAGTGCAAAATTGATACATATGTTGGAATCACATTTACCCCTTAAACAGTAGAATTTCCCTTTGTTTACTACTAGATGAATGATTGCAAGAGAAGTTGTCAGACTTTCTATCACTGGACAATAAAGAAACATATTTTTAAACCAGAAATTTATAACCACAAATTCCATGCTTGATAATTTTGCCGCCAACAGAAAGACTGCTTCCATATGATTCTCATCCTTTGGAACAGAGTACCAAAACTTAAAGCAACTTCTATAGTTACAACATTCAAGTTCTCTTTTTTTGAACAAAATTTGATTCCTAGGATCTTTCAAATTATTCCAATATCTTATAAATGTCCTAAAGCGGATTATTTACTTAGCTTATTATTTATTTGATTTATACCTTGCCTTTCTACCCAGATGGCAGAGTCCTTAGAATTCTTAAAGGTTTTATTTGGTTTTACATTTTTAATTGAACGCTGACACATCTAATAATCTTATTACACTAGTTTAAATCAATTCCAATAGTAAGTCAGTTACAAATATTCATAAATAAAGGGATTAGGAAAAAATAATGCAATATATATCATGGGTTTTAAATACTGCAGGAAAAAATATTTAAGTAACTGGATTTTCTGGATAAAATCATATTGTAGCAGAAACTGTTAAGTCCATTTCTGGGTTATGAGACACATGTATTTCTGGGCTAAATTCAAATTTTAAATTTAAGCCCACTTTTTAAATTTTCAAATAGTTTGAGTCCATGTTACCTGAGGAAGTTTCTTCCCCTTAATTTACTTACCAGGGACTCTGCCTAGATGCCCTTCCTATGACTGGAGGCTTAAAACAGAGGCTTAAAACCACACAGTTATTCTCAAAGAGTGAATAAAAGTACAGTATGTAAGTGAACATTGGTTATTGAGACTACCATTCTTCAAGTTAGTATCATGTATATCAGGACTGCAACTCCGATCATTAACTACTGGAAGGATTTATGATCACATACGATGAAAATTAAATATGGATTCTCAACAGATCAGCAAGATATTGGGTTGGGGAAAGCAGACATAGACTCTGTTTCCTGGCCCTCTAAACTCATGCAAATATATCCCGAAGAGAACTGTAGCCTTGTAAAAGGCTGATCTCACCAGTGGAAAGGAGAACATAGTAACAAAGGAATTTCTAGCAACTCAGAATTGTATAGGGCTGGCAGAAATGTTATCCTTTGGGCAAAGTTAGAATAAAGTCAAAATGCTTCATCCTTAATGTTTTTCACTACTTTGCAGATATACAGTGGGGCAAAAAAGTATTTAGTCAGCCACCAATTGTGCAAATTCTCCCACTTAAAAAGATGAGAGAGGCCTGTAATTTTCATCATAGGTATATGAGAGACAAAATGGGGAAAAAAAATCCAGAGAATCACATTGTCTGATTTTTAAAGAATTTATTTGCAAATCATG